GAAAAAAGAATAGCTTTGAAGAATATTAAAAAAAAGAAGAAGGCGAGAATATATGATTAAAATACTCAGTGAAAGACATACATGAATAAAGAGACCGAGTCAAATCCCTTTGAATGAAGACTAAGAAAAAAAAATGAAATGAAGAAAGTAAATAAGAAAAGAAGAACGGAAAGAAAAAAAATTCATTTAGCTTAGAAGATTAAAATAAATTCAAATAAATGAATGAACGAATAAAAGACAAAAAGAAAGAAATCCGTTTAATTTGGTAGAAGATTAAAACAAAAATAATAAAATAACCTGTGAATGAATAAATGAAGGAATAAACGAATGAAGAAATAAATGAACAAAGAAAGCAAGAATGAAATGAAATGAAAGACAGTTGCTAAGTGAAGAACGTGAGAATTTTTTTTTTTAACTTACGAGAGAATGATGAAAAAAATTTTTATAAAAGAAGAAAGACAAAAAGACGAAGAAATGTGGTGATAAAATATTGGTGACTGAAAAAGAAAAGTAGAAAAAATTTCGGAGACAGAATTTCAAAAATGGAGTGTATAAATTAGTCAGATCAGCCCACTGTAATAAGATGTAAAAATAAATAAATAAATAAAAATAAAAATAAATAACGAAAAATATTTCTTTAAAAATCGCCCGGATTTTAAAACATAAAACAACAAACTTAACACACACACACACACACACACACACACACACACACACACACACGCACACACACGCACAATGAAATGACAAGAAAAAGACAAAGGAAGAACATGGCGATTCTTTTGATGTAATGCTAATTAATTAGTTTTCGTCTTCAACGAAAGACTGAATTGGCTGTCTCTGATGTTATAGGAAGAATTGGTATCGTCTTCTTGCTATTTCTTTTTCTAGAATGAACAATATACTGTTTTACGTGTTCTTTTATTTTGTCCATTTTCCATCCTCATGTTTTTTTTTCTTTTTTCCTGATGTATTTTTGTTTGACGGAAGACAGTCTCTTGAACAGACAAGTTTGCAGAAAAAAATCTTCTAAAAAGACAAAAATGGAAACAGGAACCATGTTCCCACAAGACAAAAACTCAGCTCTAAATTCAAAGCACTTATAAAAAACCAAAAATTTAAAAAACAGAGACATTAACATTAACGAATAATAATAATAATAATAATAATAACAGCAGCAAAAATATTAAAAGTAGAGAAAACTTAATTTTGAAAAAACTGTAAAATTAAAAAATGGCACGAATACATCGAGTGAGGAATTTTAAATAATAATGATAAAACCATATAATATTATCAATGTGTATTTATTTATATATTTCCCGTGTATTTATTTATATACTCCCTGTCCCATCTTTATTGGAAAGGAGGTAAATCAACTTAAGTTAGTAAATTTAAGGTTGATTATTTCCCTTGGTTGTTTTAATAATCTATATACAAAAATAATAATCCATAATACAAATAATAATCTATATACAATATATAAAATATTTATCTGCGTTTAAACAAAATTAGTTCAAGAGCAAAATGAACTGTTTAATTAAGGAATTCCTTCACTTCTACATTTCTTAGGTTGCAGTCTTATTTGTTCAAGCCTTTCGTGTGAGGCACTCAAATACCTTTGTGTTATGGGAACTTACCCATAATAATAATGGACTATTCCTGACATTATAAATACTGCGCTTCTCAAGAGGTATCAGGGAGATTGAAAGACGAGGAGAGATAATTGACAGCATATTGTAAGGACATTGGAATAGTGATACTTGTCGAGACAACATAGTTCACTTTAACCAAATCTGATAGTCATTACTAATACTTCTTTGTATTATATTTCTGTTGTAATAATTCTTTGTATTCGATACATGTGTTCGTGTTATTCTTTCATTAGTTCTAACCTTGGACCATCACCGTGGTACAAGGAACTTGGGCCATAACACTTTGTCTATTAAATGATCATCTTGCTTCAACCTGTTCCTGAAATAGGCTTTGACATCGCCGATTTTGTCGTCGCCATCTTTGTAGTCGTCTTTTTTGTCGTTCTGTTGTTAATCATTTTCTTCCAAGAGATATTGCCATCATAAAGTTTTTTAACATGAAAATATATTGAGCAAAAAGTGATTTATATAACACAAGGATTAATCAATAAATCAAAGATACCATTGAACGTCTAAAAATATAAAGGAGACGATTTAATTAAACGGATCAGTGGCATGCATTTTAGTTATGGATTCTTTGTCTTCGCTTTATTGAATGTCAGTATATTGTTTGAAAACTTTTGATTCATTGCATCTGACTATTCAAACTCTAAAAATGATGGTATTTTTTTTTTACGGCACCGGTACGCTAATAATAATAATAATAATAATAATAATAATAATAATAATAATGTCATGTGGACTTGATAAGTGTACTATACTGGAACTGAAGAGGCGTAAAAGTTGGACAAACCGCGATTAAAATTACCCAAAGGAGAATCTATGACGACGGTAAAAACGATGATTAT